AGAAGGTGGTGGTTATTCGTACATGAAATTTTGCAGAAAATTAAAGATTATAACCATATTAAGATTGTAGTTGATTGGTTTATGGTTACAATTCTGTAAAAGTTAATAAAACATGTATTTATGAAAGTATAAGCTGCCTCTTGCATTCCCATTCCATCGCCTACACCATATGTGAGATAAACATCAGTTCTCATATTCAAGTTTTTTTTTGTCCAACAGAGATCAGTTTAACATGTTTTGGTCATGGTAAATAAACATTGTTAATAATAATCGTTAAGATGTTGATATATTCTGTTTTTTTGGTATTTTGAGAATAAAATAAGTTCAGAGCAATTATGTTAGTATAGAAATCAATTACTTAAGAATGGATCGGCAAATGATCGATCATTTATGGAGTTTAAGCAGCAAATATGAAAAGGTTGATTAATTAGTAACAGCTTCCATATCATCTTAACCAAGAATCGATTAACTGAACCTTCATATCTGTATATATTGATCACCGATTTGTCTGCATTAAAAACGCTCTCTGCCTTGTATGAATCTCTTTCCCCATTTCAGCTTTAAGGCAAGATTATATGATATTCATATTTGATTTAATAACTCGTTCCGTTAACACTTTATTATAGAGAATTGTTCATAAATTAATTCCATCACACAATAACATGCAATCATTGGAAACAAGAGAAGTATCAGACACAAAAACGTAAAATTATCACTACCACCAAAAGAGTTTGGAACACAAAATACATGTAATGCCACCAACACGGAAACCAATAATCATGACAATGACGACACGAAACACAAGATTATGATTAATCACCGTTTAATCAGTTTACGAAAAGATAATGGAGGAAGAGAAGATGAATAATTTTTTATCGAAAAAGATAAGTATCGGAAATAATGAATCATTACCCCTACTTTAGACTTGATATACATGTTAACAATATGTATAACGACTCTGATCCAAAACTGTGCTCTTGCGTTTGAAAGCAGTAGATTGTCATTAGTACTGAAACTCTACAGATACCTTTCTCACCTCCCCCCGGGGCATGTTTCCATGATGAAATGTCCCACCATGGTGTATTGCAATCCCGGGGTATAGAAGTGCTACCAGTACCTCTAGTCTACCGGGACTATAAACTGGTGTTTACATTTCACTGCCTGGCCTAGTCCTTGCATGATTTGACATGGGGTCTAACCAGAAAACCACATAATCTGATACTACGAGTGGCCAGTTGCCCACAGGACTATGTCCTGGCTGGTCAGTTGGTTGAGGTTCCTTCTGGATCCACGTAGTGGCTGTGGTTTAAACCCAAATTCGCTGGAAAAGTAAGTGGCGGTTAAAAGACTGATGTAAGGTAAAGACTATATTTTGGGATAAGTTCGGTGCTGTTGCCGAATGACAAAGCTTTGGAAATGAGTTGGTGTTAATTGTATATGATACGGGATTAATGTAGAGGTATGCGGGCCTCGCCCACCCGTATACTTAGAATAAGTGTGTCGTATGTTGTTCTCTTATGAGTGTGTTGGATGAACGAGAAGTGTGCTGGGTTGATAGATGATGGATGAAAGGTATCTTATACCATTGAATTTTCCTTCCATGTCCAGTATGTTCAGAGTAAACTCTGTTCATACCAGAATTACCACAGTGTGTCGCTGTGAGTAAGAACAAAGTATCGGCTTATTTGACAGATTCGTACTTCGATCTACCGGTTACGTCTCTAGGTGCTGTTGCCGACTCAACAGAGGCCATCCCCCATCTGCGTGGTTGTAAACGGAAGTGATGTTTTACATCTCGGAAGTTAAGCAACGGTGCAGCAATGGTCAGATATTGGATAGCACAAGTACTTGAGCAAAGTGAGTGTATATTGGACCGGAACAATCATATACGTAAATTGCCACCTGAGTGTAACCAGTGGTTGAAAAAGACAACCGTGAAATAGGCCAATACTTCAGATGTTCACGTAAGGCACTTCAACATTAATTAATACCCTTCGGTGCTGTTGCCGAATGACAACAGATACCCCACAGAGGAGTGACTGTGGGACCAAGCGTTCGAATGTAGGGGTATATGGATCTCATCCGCCCTTATACCTCGAGTGAATCTGTCGTTTGTTGTTGTCGGATGAATGAGAAGTGCAGGGTTGAATGATGATGGATGAAAGGTATCTTATACAAGTGATACCATTGAATTTTCCTTGTCCAGGTATGGAAAAAATCTCTGTTCATACCAGATTTACCACAGTGCGTTCTCTGTAAGTAGGAGCAAAGAACTTCTCACGAAGGAAAAATACCGAAGTAATCTAGTACATCCCAACTAGCATTTTTTGAAATTTTTGTTAACATTCGGGTCATGTATGACTCTTTTGCACGATTAAAATGATAAATGATATTTTCCTCTAGAGAAAATGGTAAACTATCCGCGAATCTTCTAAAAGAGTCTTTTATAAGCACTTCTTCTGATCAGTTCCATATCTTTTCTGAGAAATTTTTGAGTCGCAGTACTGGTAGTTGGATTCTTTTTCGATACATATTTTAGTAATTTTTGATTCTTTTCTGATCAAATAAATTTAAAAACTATCATATTTCGAACATCAGGATGATCTATTTAGGATTGCCGTACACTTTGTTATTATTAGACTTCGTATAACGATTAGTCATCTAACTGTTTTCCGTAGGAGATTATTAAACGTAAAAAATTTGTATATGATTATAATTATACTTAGTTTTAAGTTCCTTTGCGTTAATTCTACTTTATATTACACAAACTCAAATAGTTATACATTTAATGTTGTAAACGAAATGAGAATTATTCTAAAAGAGTCTTTTATAAGCACCCTTTCTAATCAGTTTCGACTAGTTTTTGATCAGTAGTTACGAATAATTTTTGAGCCATTGTTGAGGGTAATTCTTGTTATTCCATTAGAAACAAAAACAAATACAAGAGAAATAATTTTAGATCTTCCAACTGTTTCAAATGTGGCCACAAAATAAGTTTGAAAATCATCATATTTTAAACACCAGAATGATCAATTTATGATTGTTATTCATTTTATTATTGTTTTTTAAATAATCAGGAACATTTTCGAATCATTTTTAAAGCTCGAAAATTATTAATCACTTATAGGTCATTCAAATGTTAGCTGGGATGTAACGTCACAGTAGGATCTTTAAACAAAAACCATTGACAAGGAACAGGCGACATACTAAATACACGCAATCATTTGATCTTTAGTCGGTCAATATTATGATTATTACCATTTACATTTAAATTTTTTCTTATTAATTCTTTTGCGATAAAATATCAAGTTACTAAAATTAATATTCAACAACAAATTAACAGTATAAACACTCTTTCGGCATTTCACTACCCTGAAGTTTGGTAAGGTTGTCCCGAACTCGTAATTTTATTTATCATTTTAGATTACTCTTGGTTGCCGGATTTACTATGTTAGCTTTACAAGGAAGTTTTACTTTTTACACTTACGGCAGTAACAACCAACGGGCTGTTATGTTAGGCGCTTATATGGATGGTTGTACAAAAATAAAAGATGTCCCCGATCGTATACCAGAGACACGAATGTCGAAGTGCTTTACGTGAGTACCTGCCGTGTTGGCCTATCTCACTGTGGTATTTTTCACCCACTGGGTAGCATTGAGAACGGTCTACCAACGCGCCTTCAATCTTCAATGAAGAAATCAGGTGGCAATTTTTGTACATGGCTAAGCCGGTCCATGTACAAGTACTTTGCTGAAGTACTCGAGCTATCTAATCTCTGACCATTGCAGCCCCGTGTTCTTAACTTCCGAGATGTAAAACATCACTTCCGTTTACAACAACGCAGATGGGATGGCAACAGCACCTAGAGACGTAACCGGTAGACCGAAGTACGAATCCATCAAATAAGCCGAGACTTTGTTCTTACTAACAGTGACACACTGTGGTAATACTGATATGAACAGAGTTTACTCTAAACATATCTGTACAAGGAAGGAAAATTCAATGGTATCATTTGTATATGATACTTTTCATCCATCATCATTCAACCCAGCACACTTCTCATTCATCCAACACACCTATTCCAGGTAAACGGGTGGGTAAGGCCCGCATACCCGTACCATATACAATTAACACCAACTCATTTCCCACGCTTGTTCCCACAGTTACTTCGTTGTTGTTCGGCAACAGCACCGAACTTATCCCGAAATATTGACTTTACCTTATATCAGTCCTTTAGTCGCCATTTACTCTCCCCTCGAATTTGTGTTTAAAGCACAGACACTACGTGGATCCCGAAGGAACCTCAACCAATTGACCAGCTAGGACATAGTCCTGCGGGCAACTGGATACCCGTAGTACCAGATTATGTGATTTTTTGGTTAGACTCCATGTCAAATCATACCAAGGACTAGCTGAGGAGTGAAGTGACATCACCAGTTTATAGTCCCGGCAGACTATAGGTACTGGTAGCACCTCTTTACCCCGGAATTGCAATACACCATGATGGGATATTTCATCATGGAAACATGCCTCGGGGGGGACACGTATACTAGAGACAGAATTTATCGGAAACTTAAAAACACCAATCTCAGATCGAATATCAAGGTTAAAAGAAAGATTAAGGCAAATTCCTGTAGGAATCCGCTGGTTCACATTTGGCTCTAAACTGGGAAAGAAACGGACCGGGTATCTACATTAAAAACCCAGAAACTTAAATATACTACCACCTATTTAGAGACTAAAATATTTACCGACTTGACATTAAGGAATCAATTCAGTTTCCTAGGGCGTTAATATGGAAATCAAAAATCATGCAATAGTATCGATTGTGTACAGATTATACACTAGCACATGATCTTATATACTCAATGCTGACTGGTCACTGGTTGCTGTAGTCCAATCTGGCCGTTTTTAATCTCTTAGAGAATGAATTACAAAAATTGTATACAGTTTTAACAAAATCAAGAGGAATTTTTATAAAATAAAATAAAATTTATTTTACCAAAATTTATACACAATAAAATAAAACAAGACAAATTACATTAGTTGATCTTGATAGTTAACTAAAAAAGCGATAGACGATACGAAGAGAATTGATCAAATCTACGATAACGATTTTGACCCTGAAGTCCACCATATTTCTGAGGAAATGCCGTCTGTAGACAGGTTAAAACTCCACGCGTTAAATATTTCCTAGAAGACCAACGGCAAGTACATGGCGGTATGCAATTACGACAAATTTCGACGAATTCCGAGTCTGGTGCTAAATGTGGCAAACACTTAAAACGCCATGGTGGACGACGATCCGAATCACTCCAATAACATTCACAGGGTGGTAAACATAAGCAACGTTGAGAACGTTTAATCGTCACTGCGGTGGTAGATGGCTTAAACTTACACGTATATAACTTGGAACGAGGTACATTTCCAAATAGTTCCGTATATTTTGGATATTTTTCGAACCCGAACCAACGTTCTAACAACTCCCAATGTGAATAGTTTGGTTCTTTTTGTCTAATCAATTGCATTTTACGCCATAAATCCGAACGTCGTACATCTTCGTATTTTCCTCCCGTTTTAAGGCGAAATAGTTTGTATAATTCATTATGAAATTCCGGATAGAGAGTAAGACTGCGTCCGAATTTGGTCATTTCAAAATAAAATAGAGTGCGTATGCCTCGTGTTATATCTTTGATGTGATCGAAATCTTTAATATTCATGGCGGAGAGGGCTGAGGCATCTAATAGCAGTAGATTGTGTCCGGTGATAAGATTTGCACGAAAGGTATTCTGAAATAAAGGACCTTGTTAAAGTTTTTCGTAAATAAATATAAGTGCTCATGATCTGAACTCTGGGTAAATTAAGGTATGATCCATTTTCGGGTAACAAAACTGGGACTTATTCACACCTACTCACCTGATATTGTTTATAACCACGTGCTCTCAACCATTTACAAATATCCTCTATAGTCCAGTTATAAACCATGGGTAAGGGCATGGCATCCACCACTTTAACGCAAAGGTTCAAAAGCGTATCTGGCGTGCTTTTAAATACAATGGGCACATCTGTCCTATCAAAGTCATCGGTTTTACCTTCAATAATTGGATTTAAACGAAACTTAAAATATCCCAACGGATTTCTATCTCTTCGTTTTGCGGCCGGCGACTTGATAAATTTTTCATCTGAATCACCGTACAAATAGCGCATTTCGTTAAAAACGTTTAATGTTTTCTTTAAAACAAATCGTTTACAACTAAAAACAAACTATTAAAATATTTTTCGTAAAGAATATAAAATAAACGACATTAGATTTATTAAGGGTTTCTTATACATTGTAATCTTTGCAAAATTAAAACATTAGAAGAAAAAAGTTTCCCAATTGATTTTCTATAAGCGAGTTACAAAAACATTTTGTAGCAAAAAAGAAAAAGTTTTGTATTCGTGCTTCAATTTCCACCAAATAAAAAATCGTTTCTTTTTTGTTCTCCTTAAAGCATTTGGGAAAAACTTAGGTAAAGTTTTTTTTGCTAAGTTGTTGTTTTGGTATAAGAAAAATTTCTTCATTATACCCTACATTAGGTAATAGAGTTTGACCTTCATTTGGGTGATTAAAATGGAGATACTACACAAAGGATAGGATTAACAAGGTAAATCGGTGATGGATGGGGCCTTAGTCTTACTAACACATATCGACTTTATAAAACCAATTGACTTTATAAGACCAATTCTAAATTATGCCTCAATAATCTGGTGGACTTCGTTGGACAAAACGTGTAATATCAAACTATTACAGGGAGTTCAGCATACATGCTGCTTGAGTATAGGTGTACTACGTCAACAAAGGCTCAGGAAACGTTGCTTGATAATTCCACTCATTTAAATATATACATATATGATATGAGGCGGAACTGACACCCCAACGGTTAAAAACTTTGGGCGAACTTGGCAAAAGTGGTTATAGAACACGTTATCAATGTATATTGGACACATTGGAAGGCTTTACACAATCATCGGACGTACCCGATCGCATACCAGAGAAAAAATATTTCGTAAACTTTGAAACGCTGATCACAGATAGAATGTCTTGGTCAATCGGAACTTTAGATCAAATACCCATAGGAATCCGTTGCTACACGGATGACTCTAAATTTAAGGGACAAAGTGGGTTTAGAGTTCAATATTGAAGACCCAGAAACAGAAATATACCTCCGTTCACCTAATCACAACACTAGCTTCCAGGCAGAAGTCTGAGAAGTAACAGAATGCGTAAATTGGATTAGAATAAATATGGTGCCCAAAGGACTTAACATAAATATTTACCGACAGACAGAAGTCAGTCGACAACGAAAAAACGAAAGTATTAGCTTTAAAGGGAAGGGAGCTCGAGGTAGCTAACCTGACAAACACAAAATCATTTGACTCAATGAGGGTAGTGTTAAAAATATGGGCGAGAGAACCACAAAAATCCTAAGGGTTGACCTCAACGAGAGCAGGACGAGAAGTCTCCTTAAAACGAACAAGACTAAGATTAGTATGATGGTACGTATTCTGAGTGAAGACACAGAATTACGGTCAAAAATATACAGAATGGGACATGCAAATTCAGACGAAAGTAGAGCATGTAGAGACGGCATGAAGTCGAAGTGCTTTACGTGAGTACCTGGAGTGGAGCCCTATCTCACGGTGGTACTTTTTCAACCACTGTGTGAGTAACAAGTAAACAACTCACTACTGCCCCTTTGTGTATCTTACACGCTGGTCACAATTTTGTACATGGATATGCCGGTCCATGTACAAGCACTTTGCTCAAGTACTCTACCCCGACATAATGTCGCCCAACTACTATGGCTCTGTTGTTTCGGCAACAGCGCCTAGGGGACGTAATTGGTAGTCCGAAACTCAGATCATATTAATTGACAAGACTTTATTTCAGTGGCCACAAAGACCCACTGTGATAAGTTGAGCATGCACTCAACCATGTTGGAAAATCGCTAATAAATTAAAGAAAGGGCAGTGACGACCTTGCACCATATCATCCTTCTCCTTTTGCCAGACCGTAGTCTAACACATTGTTCATCGTTACACCATCACACACATCCGTCAAATCCATCAATCACTCCATTCTCTCTATAGAATCAAAGTAGACATCAGAAACATCGTTCATCTTCGTTTACCCAATCTTTGCATTATCAGTTCAATTCCAACATTTTATTAATCCACAGTCATGCTCTGTAATTTGTACCGCTCCTTGCATCTAGGAACGATAACTGAAATGTATCTTGAAAATTTATATTTCACCGTGTATCAGTCTTTTAACCAAGCACCCCCTTTCTGCGATTTAGGTTTCAACCACAGCCACTACGTGGATTCCGAAGGAACCTCAACCAACTGACCAGCCAGGACAAGTCCTGTGGGCAATTGGCCACCCGTAGTACCAGATTATGTGGTGCTCTGGTTAGACCTCTTTCCAATTTATGCAAGGACTAGGCCAGGAAGTAAATTGTACACCAAGATGCGGTCTGACATCAAGGAAACATGCCCGGGGGGGGGGGGGTCATGTAAACAGTAAAACTTTGTCAGACTTTCGCCAAAATTCGATCCAAATATCTTGGGACTGATATTATTCCGAATATAAAATCCGTCACGAACGCTGATTTGAAAATTCTTAGAAATTAACTCCAGAAAATTGAGGTTTTTATTTGAAATAACAAACATTTTCTATGAAAAGGAGCGCACAACAGGCCCGATAGTGGCCTGGGAGTATTTCTGCGGATATGATGTAGATTCATCCTCCTAACAACCTAAACATTTCTATTCTTTTCCATATTCGTAGTGATAGACTTGAGTGATGCATGGCCGCCTTTGTAAAAAAAACATTGCTGAGAATATCCTTGAGCTGGTATCCCACCATTGTAGCCTGAGTTCACGTTGTCCATAAGGACACTGCTTATTGACCCTACTCTCTCCTAGTCTTCTATTATACGTTTCATCTAAGTAGTGTATTTCAATGTCGTTACTTACGCAACACATTAGTACGACATGTTAAATAATTTCTAAGTTCATGTTACTTAGCTGCAAACCACCTTTTAATGGCCAAAGTTTGTTGCGAGCAAAGTTCTTTCATTTTTTTCTTTACTGCACACGTTTCATGGTGGAAGGTTTTTGTGCTCCAGTTAAACTTCGTCTACGACTACTAGCATTATTAAATTGTTACAGGATTAATGGGTATTTTTAGTTGTGCTTTTTGTAACAATTTTTTTTCATCGCATTAGTAGTGATTGATTTGCGACAACAGTAATGTTGACGGAATTTCTTTATTAAGAAGTTTGTTTTTTAAAGTTTAGATTTAAGTAGTACTAGTAAATGTTAGAGAAATAAGAGTGAATACTTCCATTTGTACTGAAGTATTTCAATTAAGCTTTTATTTTTGGATATATGTATGTATATGTTTCATTGTTGCTTATTAGGTTGAATACTTTTCATGAAGAGTAGCACGGTTTTCGAATTGTGTGTCATTGTCATTGTAATTATTTACAAGATTTCTGAATTAAAAAACTTAAATCATTAGTTAAAATCAAGTAATATAGGAGTTTGAGCTGTAAAAGGAAAAATGCTTAAGTTCTGTCCATTGTGCAATTGCGAATAACTTTGTTGACATAAATAATTGGTTCTATTGAAGCTTTTTTATTCTTAATGCTTATAGTAGACTTAAAAGTTACAGAGTAGCAGAGTACCGCTCTGAAATGTGTTCTACTCCACGCCTATTATGGAAAATCGCCATTATCATCTTGTTAATTGAAGTTGATTCTATGATGACCAAAACTATATAATATGCATGTCATGGCGTCAAACCTTAGTCCGTACTAGGTTCTAATAAGGGTGCTACTCATACCACGCTTCATGTGAGATAGAACTCATACTATCTGAAAGTTCAAAACAGGTAATGCCCAAAACCATTGTATTGGATACCAAACTGTGATAGAATCTCAATATAAAAGCATAGGAGTCAAAGACAAACATTGCTTGTAGGAAAGCCATAAGATGGACTTGGGCACCTGTTCTTGAACTGTGATGCTAACTTGACATAGTGATATCAGTCATACATCCATTTTGGGAAATATTGACTAAGACTCTATAAAAGTCTAAAACAAACAATACCCAGATATGTTGTCTTGGATTCCAAACTCTCTGGAATATCAACGTTGAAGCGTTTCTGATAAAAAAACTACTTGCTACTAGAATTTTAAATATTTGTCCTTTAATTATCATATTAATGCAAAAGAGTGATAAGAAGACAAATTTAAATAAATGATAATTGACATAAAATTTGCACTCTAACAGACACCTGCACGTTTTTCTCTTCAATTTTATTGTTTGTTTAACAAAGTTTAACAGATGAAGTTATACAAACCGCAATCTACATGATTGTTCAACATGTCCGAGGGGAGTCTGTAAATTTACTTGAAAGTACGAAAGGAAGTGGAAATTATTTATATATATGGAAACTATTGACAAATATATATGTAATAATTCTGATAAAATTAACGAATTTATTGTTACAAGTGATTTATTGAAGTTTATACTTTAGAAATCAAACCTTTTTAAAGAAATTTAACATTTACTTCATGTCATTTGGAAATTGGATTTAAAAATTCTTCCAACAACTTGGGTTTTACATGCATACAAACATACGTATGAATTTAATCGGGTGAACGAGTAAATACTAACATATTCTCACTCACACACATTTAAAAGTTCTTATCAAGTTGAAAACTTGCTTTAAGCGAATTTTGTGGAACAAAAGAGTTGTTAACCCGGTGAGGAATAAAAGAAAAACAAGTTAGAGTGCTAAATTCGGCTGAGCCGAATCTTAAATACCCTCCACCAGTTACTTTTATATTAATACTTTTCTAATTGATCAAATATTTGTAGAAATAAGTTTTCTCATGTCTTAAATAGAAATATCCCAAGATTAAACAGCTTAAATCTATTACAATTCCATGATTTATTGAACATTACAAACGCAATTTTCTTTATATTTTTATAGCGCTTAGCGATATTTAGTAATTTGCATGTATGCATGTGTGTGAAAATTAAAGGATTTTCAAAATACATATATATAATCTACACAAATTGATAATGCAACTAGTTAAATACGGTTAAAGTGCTTTCAGGGGCAGGACCTAGATATGACCAATTATAGTCCGATCGTAAAAAATTCTTTAAGCTAAATTTCTGTACATAAAAGATATATTTCAGTAAAATTTT